GATATTATAGGGAAAAGCATTCCAGGAAGAGGTGATGGCAGGTGCAAAGGCCCTGGGGCAGGCCCTGGGGCAGGGATGAACCAAGCATGTTTGAAGAACAGCAAAGAGGCCAGTGGGGCTGGAGCAGGTTCAGCAAGGGGACGGTACCAGGTGATGGTCACCTGTGCGAGGGGGGTGGATCAAAGGCTGTAAGGATCTCAACTTTTACCTTGAGTGACATGGGGCTTCTGGAGGGGTCTGGTTTGTACTCTAGATGGTTCCTACCAGCATGATGAGAATAGATCATTGGGAGCAAGGGTGGGAGCAGAGTGGCCAGTGAGGGGGCTCCTGCAGAGACTCTGGGCAAGAGACGCTGGCACTTGGACTAGGTGGGTATCCATGAGGTGTTGGGAGGGGGCCATAGTCTGGATGCATTTCAAAGGTGGTGCTGGCCGGATTTTCTGACGGCTGGGATAGGGGGCTAAGAAGAAAGAGGGGTCGGGGATGACTTTTGGCCTCTGGTCGAGTCAGGAGAGTGATTCTGCCATCACCCAGATGGAGAGGCTGCAAGGGCAGGTCTGGGGGAGCAGTAGGGAGTTCGGGGCATTTAGTTTTGAGATCTCTTAGACACCCAACAAGTTGTCAAGTGGGCAGTCAGACATAGGTGTCTGGAGCTCAGAAGAGAGGTCTGGACTAAGAATAAATGCAAAAGTGACAAGACAAGTCGAGATCACCAGGGGAGAGAGCGTGGACAGAGAATAGAATGTAAGAGCGAGAAAGAATGTCTCCTCCCCCTGCTGGGACACATGCTGATGGATGGCCAGAGCCCAGAGGGCCGCTCTGCTGTGAACAGGTGCAGGATGTTGGAAGTTAGTGTTTAATCTAGTGCCCCTTGGTTTACAAAGTCCTTCCCTGCATCGGGGTCTCCTTGCTGCCAGGTGTGCCAGCTGCTTGGTCTCCCTCCCCCTTCTCTGTAGCTAGATGGATGGGTCATCCATTCGATAGCCTTCACTGGGCACTGTTATATGCCAGGCCCCAGAGAACCTCTAAGGATCCCAGGGGGAAAGTGAGGCAGGGTCTGCCCTCCAGGACAGCCCACGCCAGGGCAGGATTCGGACGTGCCACCTGCAGGCTTATCTGTGTTGGGGAGAGGCTCAGTGTTATGGGAGCTCAGAGTGGGTTCCGGGATCAGATTTGGTGCTCAGGGAAGGCTTCCTGGTGGAGGTGACATCTAAGTGGGCACCTGACGCATGAGCAGGAGCTGGCCAGGATGGATGGGAGGACAAGTGTTCGAGGTGGAAGGACCAAGGACCAGGGGCTTCTTTCTCATGCGTCCAGGTCAGCCTCTGCCCGTGGATGGGGCCGGCCTTGGGCAGGTGTCAGCTGTGGGGCGGCTGCTGTATCTAGCACAGGCCCAGCTGGCCCAGGAGGGAACGTACACCTGTGAGTGCAGCAACGTGGCTGGAAATAGCAGCCAGGACCAGCAGCTGGAGGTGCATGGTGAGTCAGGCTGGGATGACCTGAACCAGGCTGAAGGGGCCAGAAGGGGCCCAAAGGGTGGGCATCCAGGTGCCCTGGCAGGGCAGACCTCACCCCAAAACCCAAGCAAAGACAAAACAGGGCTGATGAGAGCACTGTCCTGTTACCCCTTAGCTCTCTGGCATTTCAACTGCCCCCTACCCCCAGCCAGCTTCTTACAGCTCCTGACCTCAGCGTGAGAGAGGGGGCAGCGTGATCCCAAGAAGCCCCCAATGGTCCAGAGGGGGAAAAAAACACAGCTTGAAACAGTTGGAAACTAAAGAAATGTAAAATTGATATGAAGCTCCTATATGTGCTGGAAACATAAGTCTCCATCTACTTGTCCTGCCGGGATGAAATTAAATATCTCAAACTTGCAAAAATCATTCTAGAAAATAAAACCAAAAAAATGCTGTTCAGCATCTTGGGGAGAACCCCACCTGTGGAATAATCCCTCACCCTTGGCCAGTCCTAACAGCTGTTTAAGTTCCGGGAAGCCTCTGGTCTCTAAGGAAGAAAACCCCTCACAAATCTTCAGGGCTGTTCTGTGAGCTCATTATCCGAACGGCAGGCCTTCCTGTGATTCACAGGGTGTGGGAGAGGGGGCCATGGGGTACTTTTCTGACCCCATTATAGAGATGCAAAGTGGAGGCCCAGAGAGGCGAGGTCACCTGGCTGAGGTCACCTGGCTAAGGTCACACAGCCAGCGAGGGACATGGAAGAACACAGGCCAAATGGAGGCGAGCCCAGAGCCTGGCATGTGGCGCGCGTTTGGTGACTGGCGGCCCACTTTCCCTGACGTGCTTTCTCCCCATGCCAGTTCCCCCACAGATCGCGGGCCCCCGGGAGCCCCACACACAGGTGTCCGTGGTCCAGGACGAGGACGCCACTCTGGAATGCAACGCCACAGGGAAACCCCTGCCCAGGGTGACGTGGGAGCGGGACGGCGAGCCAGTGGGGGCCGAGCCTGGCCTGTGGCTGCAGAGCCAGGGTCAGAGGCTGCACGTGGAGCACGCTCGGGCTGTCCACGCCGGGCGCTACAGCTGCATGGCTGAGAACGTGGCCGGGAGGGCCGAGAGGAGGTTTTCGCTCTCTGTGCTGGGTGAGGACCTGCGGCCTGCTGGAGGAGGGCAGGAAGGGGACCAGACTGGAGAAGGCAAGGCTGCTTCCATCCCCAAGCTGTGCTCCTGGGGCCACCCCCTTGTTCTGCCAGGAGTCAGACCCCTCTGGGTAGGGGTCCTGTTGGAAGAAGCCGCAAACACTGCTTTCAAAATCAGGATTGGTTCCAAATGGCCCTCATTTCCCTCCCTCCCTGTCTCCCGTGTTTGCTGTTCCCCTTCTCTGTTCCTGCCTGACTCGTATGTGATGGGGGAATTCGGGGGTCCCCGAGAGATCAGGAAGATCCTGACCGCTGTCCTGGGAAGTCAGGGCAGCTTCCTGTAGGAGATGACCTTTTAGCTGAAATGCAAAGGCTGAGTAGGGGTTCGTCGGGAGCCGGGGTGAGAGGAAGAGTGCCAGGCATAGGGAACGGACTCTGCGGAGGGCTGGGGCACGTTCACCGGGGCTAGAAGAGCCTTGTGATTCCAGTCTCTTACTGAGCTCCTACTGCATGCCTCAGGGTGGAGGCAGGGAGTGGAGAGAGACAAGGAGGGAGAGGTGGGCAGGGGTCCTTTAGGGAGGACCCTCTTATGTCTCCATCATTGCTGGGATCCCCAGCCTCGCCCACCTATCCCTGCCTGATAGGGTGTGGCTTCCTTTCTGAATGGAACTCTGCTCTGTGGATTTAGGGACCCATCTGGTGTTCCCCTTTGCTCTAACTCCCGTCTCGTTTGCTCAGTCTTTGCTCCGTGCCAGGCTGTGTGCTAAGCGCTCTACACATGTCCTTGTCGAATTCTCCTGGCATTCCAACGAGGGGTCGGGGAAACTGGGGCCCAAGCCTGATACCAAAGCCCAGCCCGTGGCCGTCACTCACGCCCTTCAGTGGAAGCGGCTCTGATCTTGTCGCTTCTGCTCCTCAGGCTTCCCTGACTGGGGGGTGGGGCTCCTCGGCGAGGGCATTGGTGGGGAGACAAGCAGGAGCGTACAGCCCCCGTCTGCATCCTGAATGCGGCTTCTTCTCTGTGTCTAGTGCCCCCAGAGCTCATTGGAGACTTGGACCCACTGACCAACGTCACGGTTGCCTTGCACAGCCCCTTGACGCTGCTCTGTCAAGCCACAGGCATCCCACCTCCAGGGGTCCTCTGGTTCCGAGGGGAGGAACCCATCAGCCCTGGGGAGGACACCTACCTCTTGGCAGGTAAGGTGCCAGTCAGGGGAGTATCTGGTTATCGGGTCTGGCCCTCTACCTCTGTCCATCACATGCCTGTGACCTCTGATCCTGCACTGCCAGGCTTGGTTGGGATAACCGTTTTAGCTGTTGGTCCCCTGAGAGTGCACCCAAAAACACTGGTCAGGTGAGGTGCTCCAGGAAAAAAAATCAGATTTAAATAAGTTTGGAAAAGGCTTCCTGTTCTGCTCTCCTGGAGACTCACAGTGACCATCTGTATAGCCAAGGTTCTGATAAGTCCTGCAGAAAAAAATTCTCACGGCACCTATGAAACAGCATGGAACCGTAACAAACTTTGGGAAATGCTGATCTAAGCACTCTCTCCTTTGAATATTCATCTTCCTCACAGAGTTGGTTTGTGATGGTTCTTGCTGGAATACAAATGGGGAAACTGAGGCCCAAGAGGCAATATCCCATCAGAATCTTTCAGGGACTTCCAGGCCTCCTGAAGCTCAGCCTCAATGACCCGTCAGTTGTTCCATGCAGCCAAAGCTGGGATGGTAAATAAGTTTCCCCTTGTGCACCACTTCTGAGCACTTGGTGGGGGCCGCCAGATTCAGTGTGATGATATGAATTCAGAGACTGCATCTGGGCCCAGCAGAAAGGAGAGTGGCGATCAATTAGTGATGTCTGCCCTGGGTGCAAGAATAGCAGTGATGATGTGTATCTGCCTTCCTTGGGCTGGTCTTAGGAGATCCTTGCATTCCTCTGAGAGGAGCTGGTTCACCTCTGAGCGGTCCTTGGGAGAAGGTGGCCTTTTACCAGGTCCATCAGAGTCGAATGAGGGTTTTGATCTGAGCCAGGACTACATAAACCATTGCTGTCTTTTTAGCCCCAGCCAATCCACAGAAGAGAGGGTAGCCAGGTGACAGATCCTTCTTACTAGAACAGGGTCCTCAAGTTTACCCTGGTGTAGGTCTAATGTCCAGGGGGCTCCGTCTATCTGTTTACCCTCCTGGGCCTCAGTTTACCCGTCTGATGAATGGAACATTGTGGGAGGCAGACACCTATACCTCTAAATATAATGCCTGGCATGCTCCTCCTCCTGGCGGGCAGCCTGGGCTCAGCTTGGGACAGAAGGCTGCTCATAGCTGTGCTTGGAGCCCACTCCCCCGCTCCCCAGGTGGCTGGATGCTGAAGATGACCCGGGCCCAGGAGCGAGACAGAGGCCTCTACTCGTGCCTGGCAGGCAACGAGGCTGGGGAGGTGCGGAGGAACTTCAGCGTGGAGGTCCTGGGTATGTCACCGCCCCATTCTCATGGGCACCCACCAATCCTTTCCCTCCGGCCTGGGAGCTTCTGGAGGTGGGGTCTGGCACCGGCAGGAGGGAGAAGCCAAGCCTTGTTTTCTTTGCCTCATCAGCAACCTCTTCTCTGAGGCTGCCATAGAACTTTCCAGAAACAGCTGGAACTAACCCCAGATGAAAGGGGGAAAAGGTTTTCAATACCACCCACCTGCCTTCCTCTGATCAGGGCCTTCTCCCAGCGGCACTGGGACTTCCCTCAGCCAGCTGCTGAGGGTTAGGGTTGGGGTTTATTAAACTCACAGCCCCATGGAGGCAGGCGTGAGGGGATGGGGAAATGGAAGAGAGGTGCCACGGGCTCTTAGCTTCCTGCTCCGTGGTTGTTCAGCATGGTCAGTTAGTGTCTGTCTTCCCTGCTTCTCCCAGTTCCTCCCAGTATCGAGAATGAGGACCTGGAGGAGGCAATCAAAGTGCCCGAGGGGCAGACGGCTCACCTGACATGCAATGTCACGGGTAAGGGACACACGCAGTGAACTGGAAGAAGGGTGAGAGGCAGCTCCGGGAAGGAGGGGATCCCCGGAGATCTGGGCTGCCTGCCCCCAGCCCTACTGCTCCCCACGGAGGGTCTCTCACTATCTTGGCCTTTGCACTCTCCATGCCTCCGCCCCAAACACTCTTCCCTACTCATTTGACTACAGAGCTCAGCTTCCAGGACCCTCCACAAGGAGTCCTTGGCTGACCCTTTGGGCCCATGGGCTCTTACAGGTCCCAGTACTCCCCTATCCCAGCACTGACTACACTCGACCATAGTGGCCTTGTCATATCTGTGTACCCCAGCCAGGCTCTGAGCTCCTTGAGGACCAAGGGCTACCTTGTCACCATGGTTCCCCCAGTGCCCAGCAGAGTAGGCTCCCATTAATGCTTGTGGGCTGGGAGAGATGAATGGATGCATGCATGGATGGATGGATGGATGGATGGAAGGGATAACTTGCCTTTCTGTCCTGCCTGTCTGTACCAAGCCATTCCTGCCCACAACCTGGGTAAGGAAAAGGCAATCAAACCACATAGGAAAGGGCCCAGGCCAGGCTTGGTGGCTGCCTCTGTGTCTTGCCCTGTTACATGGACCTCTGGACTAAGGTGGAGAATTGATGTCCCCTGCCCCATCTTGGAGCAGCCTCTGACCCCTTGTTTGACCTGGTCAAAACCTGCTGAAGCATTTCACTTGCCTCTCCCCTCTGCATACAGGCCACCCGCAGCCCAAGGTCACATGGTTCAAAGACGGCAGGCCCCTGGCTGGCGGAGATGCCCACCGCATCTCTCCAGATGGAGCCCTCCTGCAGGTCCTCCAAGCCAACCTGTCTAGCGCAGGCCACTACTCCTGTATTGCGGCCAACGCCATGGGAGAGAAGACCAAACATTTCCAGCTTAGCGTCCTGGGTAAGTGCTAAGCATCTTCTGGCCGCCATAGGTGCCGGCAGGCTGGTACCAAGGTGGCCAGCTCCTTACAGACAGCTTCCCACAAAGCACTTTACTATTTTTTCTTCCACGTCAACAACAACAAAAAGAATAATAACAGCCCTATTGGCTGAACATCTACCATGGGCCAGGCATTTGGACAGGCCTGATTAGTTGAATCTTTTCAACAACCCTAGGAGGTGGGAGATGTGCTTGTCCCCATGTCACCAATGAAGCCCTGAGGCTTAGAGAGGTGACAAGACTCCAGGCCCCAGGGTCGGGGCTCACACCCAGGCAGTCAGTCTCCCAAGGGCTGTCAGCATGAACTGTCTCGTTAGGAGAAACAGGAGTCTAGAAGTTGAGAGGAGCACAGATCTCTTTCTTAAAATGCTGTTGGTAAAAGGGAGGGTCCCCAGTGAGAGCTGAAAGAGAAAATTTGGGGACCAGTGAAAGCAGAGCTATTCTACCCAGCAGGGAGTAAAACTCCATCCCCCCCTCTGCTCAGAGAGTGGTAACAATTGGAACCACAAACGGAATTGAGAAGGCTCTGGTTAAATGAGTAGGTTCTGGATGTTAAGAGACTGTTGGGGAAATTGAGGCACAACTGACCAGCTTCCCCTATGGTATTGCTTAGTGATGGAGAGCCTGGGCTCTGGGTCACCCAGGCCTGAGCTCAAGCGTGGCCACACGGTGCGTGGTTCCTCTGAGCTTCAGTTTCCCCTCTGTGCGATGCAAGTAGCAAAAGCACCTAAGCCAAGCACCCGGGTCTGAGGCTCTTCTGGGTCCTTGGGCCCAGGGTGGGGGATCTCTGTTAACGAGCACACTCCCTGCCCCACCGCAGTGGTTCCCACCATCCTGGGAGTGAGCGAGGACAGTGCTGATGAGGAGGTGACCGTGACCATCAACAACCCCGTCTCCCTGATCTGCGAGGCGCTGGCCTTTCCCTCCCCAACCATCACCTGGATGAAGGATGGGGCCCCGTTTGAGGGCTTGAACAATATCCAGCTGCTCCCAGGTGATGCCCTCGGGGTGGAGAGGACGGAGACGGGGGGGGGGGG